TCTGATACGGAATGATCTGTGGAGATCGGTGGGAGTTTAAGAGCTCGATTTCCCGTCTCTCCAGTAATAAAGCGGTGAGTGGAATCTCCAAGTTCGCTCCCAGTTGTTGCAGTTCGAAAGTCAAGTCGTTGATGATGATCAAGACGGAGGTCGTGGCGTGCCTGGGACGAACGATGATGTCGTTCGTTTTGTGAAGGAAATTTCTAAGCGGCCCGATTGTTGGACGGATTTTCCACTGCCACTTGATTATGGTAATTGAAACTGACTTCGATTTCTCGTTTTCCTTTCCAATTGATTCCTTTTGACCGGCGGGAGGCGGGAGTTCTGTAGTCGAGATGATCATTCTATTAGAGTACGATTATATTATTTGATTGTCAGTGAATTGATGATTTGATATCCTCGCAAGATCGTTCCTATTACTGGGTTGGATTATTATCCTCAATTCGTAGTTCCCGAGTCTTAAACATGAACTCTTTGTATATTACGACACTTCATAAGCTGTTCTTAGTTCTTCCCATATTGCCCCTCTGTCACTATTTTGATCATGCGGCTAATTGGCTTATTTCATTATGATTGTTTCTACGATAAGTTCTTCTTTGCTCCTACAGAATGCAAATATTGAAATTACAAATAGACAATATCGGCACAGCTTATGGTACTATGTTGTTTGGTAAGAAGTTTACTGCCCTGGATTAGTGTTTCACTTGGACACAAGTTATTTGATCCAACTTGTTAGGAATAGGTAACAAAATCCTTTGTACCTTTTTCCTCTCTGAAAATTTATACTGAACTCTCCTTTCACTGGTAAAGAAACTGGTGATCAAAATGGATGGTAATGTTAAATGCTAGCGACCAGACGATGTGGTAACCAGTACCTACAGTGTGGAGTATTTAGTTTGGTTCGTTGCCTAGAACTTGCTTTAAAAAGGCCTGGTTTAAACAAAAAAAGTGAGCTGTCGTTTACTGATGCTGGAAATAATATATTAGGAAAGACTCCTGTTGTTGAAAAGTATGGACAATTGCACTATAAATGCCTGATTCAAGAGGTCAGGTACTTTTTGTAGCAGCTCAAGGCACAATGCCTTTTCTTTAGTGTTGAAAGGGCAAGCCAATGAGCGGGTGTCCTTAGTTGCCTCAACATGTTAGAAAAGCTAGTATGCTTCTTCATGATATAAAGTCTGCAAAGAAGTTAATGCCCTTTTTATTCCAACTTAATGCATTGACATTAATAGGCACTGATATGGGAAATTTGACTTGTTCCAGCTGATTTCAGTATGTCCCATCCTCAGAGGCAACATGCATTAACTATAGAAAACTGGTGCCTGAATTTGTGGCACTTAGACTGAAACTTTGTAGCTACATGAATGTGGAGAAATTCTGGTTGATCTACTTTCTGTTGTTACTTCCAAGACTTAATCAGCGTGATTTTGAGCTGCTATCAACTGCCAAGGCAAGCAGCATTTCTCAACATAATGTCTCTATCCGTTTTGGTTTACATGGACCACTAGGTCTGGATATATGCTTGTCTAGCATTTTTGTTCATTTGTGTCTAGATAATTGGCTTCCAGAATCTGGCTTTTGTTCTTGCAATTTTTTTTAAGCCATGCCACTTGCATGCAATTATTTTTATATTACATAGTTATATTTATTTTTTACTTTAAAAATATCTTATTCTAAATGTTGGCATTAAAACGCTTATACTTGCCGTGCCACTGGAATGCAAAGCACTATTAAGTGGACCTGAGGTGATAACATAATGTTACTATATTGACTAATGAGAAACGGTGAAGCATTTCATTTATTCTGTGCCTTTTTGAAGTGAATCTCTGACTCTTGAATCTTTGTAATTGTATATCTTGGATTACGATCAGATTCACCTCCAGTTTAAATGAATGTTATTGATTTTCCTTTGGCGTTCTCTCCAGCTACTTTGTGTGGATTAAGACTTCCATGCTGTTCAACCTGGCTAGCGTGAGAAAATAATTTCTTGCATAACTATCTTGCGCTTGGTGTTTAGGGTTCTCAAATTTGTCAGCAGAAAGGTTCTTTTTTAAGTTAACTAATTTGCATCTCTCTCACTTCTTTTTGGTGCAGATTCTTGAAGCACGAAGTGTGCTTCTGAAGAGACTTGCAGACAAGACTACTTTACAGGCGGAAAACTCCGAAAACTGAGGAATCTGAGTCCACATCAAGACGTTGGGAACGACTCTTTCACAGAAAGAGACAATATTTCGTCTGATGAAAACCTGATTTTGGGTGAGATCACAAGTGCAACGAAATGTTTAGAAATTGATGATGACACAATGAGTAGTTCTGCAAGATGGTTTGAAGATACAGATATTGGCAATTCCCTTGCAAAATTCAAGCAAGAGGAAGAGGATGTGTCATTCAGTGACCTACAAGATGAAGATGATGATAAAAGTGTTATTTCTGATTGTGAGAGATTATCAGGCTCTAGGGAGGCACGTGACCTAATAAGGGTTCATCACGTGATGTATGCAGTGATTGGGATAAGTTATCTGAGAATTCTGAGAGAGGAGGAGGAGGACGCCAGCAGAAGGCTGTGCATTTGAAGGGGAAGGATTCAGAAGATGAATCAAATGATTGGTTCACCGTTGATCATTTTTAAATGGACAGGTTTTTTTACTTTCTCAAAGTTACAAATTTATTGTAAAGGCTTCTCACGTGTCCCATTGTGTATTTAAGGATTCCAAAATTTTATTTAATGTCAATATATCAGTATTATTAATTATTATCAATCCTCTACATATTATTTTTCGTTTTTTTTTAAAATTAGAATTAGAGGGCTAGTTACCTCCCCTATACTTGAGGAGCGTCTTTGCCATTTGGGTAAGATACTAAGCTCCCAGTTTCGACCGACGTGTGCACACATACACAAACATATGAAATATATATATATATATGCTAATACTCATAAATTGCGTAGATTATGTTTACTTTGATACTAGTTCCCCGGAATATCTCTAACAATGCATTACCCTTCAAAACAAAAAGGAAGTATTGGCTAATGTCTATTTAGAGTGGCCATGTTTTTGCGTTGCAACCTATACTATTTGGTAGGCTTTGACAAGTCAAGAACTAATGCTTAGATGATTTAAAACCTAAATTTTTTATCAAAAAAGAAAACACTTGTTTATAAAGAGAGGTGTGTTTTTCTTGTATCATTTTAAATTTACTGAATTATTGAATAGTTTGCGACGGGGAAACGATTCATGCCGATTTTTTCATTCCCTTATTTTGTTATTTTTTAATTTGCCGTTCTTCATGAAAAGTCTATTTAAGCCTTCAAGCGAAAGTGCAAGTTTTGCTTTTTAGGGGATGCTCATTTACTCTTAGAACAGTCTAACAAGAACAGAGATGTTAGGGCTGCTTGCTCGTACTGGGTTCGTGCGGAGCTTCTATTTTTTTTGCGGCCACCGAGAGGTCCATCTTATAGTGCTGCTAATTTTTGGTTGGTGTAAGGACTTCCGATTATGAGTATCTTCAAGAAGCTTTTGGGATGGTTCTTGGATTGTGTTGCTGCGAAAACAGATGCATCACTCGCTTCCTATGGTCGTTGTACCATTTTCCCAGTTCTAGAGTTATGCTCTTGTAGTTGGCTTCTCATCCTTCAGGATTTTCAAGGCCTTTATGGTCGTTCAAGCCTTCAAGATGGTTTGCAAGTGCCCTTGGTGCTTCCTTTGCATGCGGTCGCCTCACCCTTTGCTCCTGATCACTTTCTATTTAATAGATTCATGGTTCGAGTTGTATCGTTTCAAGCTCTTCTCTCGCATATTTTAGTGTTCCTGTTTTTTGTTTTCTTTTTTAATTTCTTATTGAGCTCCTATAATTTTATTAGATTTCATCAATGCTATGTTTGTGAAATTATATATATATATATATAAATTTAAGATATTTATTATATCTATCGTCACATTAACTACAAGGGATTACTTTTTTTGGTTTTTATTATAAGTTTTAAATAGGGGAAATTGCCAAAAAAAGACCTTGGAATTGCAAAAACGCAGATAGGGACCCTTGACAACTTCATTGAGTTTTGACAACTTCAGGGATATTATCTTGTCATGTAAACCCAAAGTGTAAGTTGTCAAGGTCCCTATCTGCGTTTTTACAATTCCAAGGTCTTTTTTTGCAAATTTCCCTTTTAAATAACTAATTTATAAATAATAAACAATTAGATAAAATTAATTAAAAATAATAAATAAGTGAGAAATATATTTTCTTTCTAAACATGTCTTTGTAATAAATAAGAAAAAATGAAAAAATGTGATAAGAGAGATTATAACAAAAAAAGATAAAATAATAAGACTAAAATTAGAAAAAGTATATTAAATGTTAAAAAAAAACACTAAATTAAAACTTATAAAATCAATCGTATTTCTTTTCAAATTTGAAGCTTGGAGGACATGAGCAAGCAATAAAAATGGCTTTCATAAAGATCAAGAGAAAAAATTATTCACATTTGTAAGGCAAACTTCTTAATTTTCATTTTACTTTCTCATCAAAGCTACGTCAGTCCTTGTTGAAACTCTCTTCGTATAACATTCTGTGTATAGTTAGACCTGAGTTTTGGCGATAAACATCTTAAACTCATTAAATTTGAACTATTATGTCTTATTTGGATGGTTAGGATTTGATTTTTTTATTTATTTAAAATAATTATTTTATATAGATGAAATCTAAAATAAGAATAATCTCTTAATTATTTTTTTTCAAAAAATAATTTTTTATTTAAAATAATTAATTAAAAATTTTAAATCTAAACTGTTGAAATCAATCAAATATAAATGATAATTTGATCAGTGTTGCTCGTCAAAATGATGATCACCGAACCTGTTGCGTGGCTGAACTCAGTGAGCGAGGAAGTATGAGGGTATGATGTACAGATACGTTACAATGCTCTGCTTTCTTTCCTTTGTATATAACTATAAATACATGTAAAGAGATTGATAAATCAAATTTATCAGTCACTGCTTCCAATTCCATCATTCTCCATTCACGCTCGAATCGACGATATATTGATCCGTCGAAGCCACACAGAGTGAAGAATCATATGAAACACATCATAGGCCTTAGCGGGTCGATTCACCTCAAAGTGTCTCTGCACCTGAATCACCCTTCTCTGCATTCTCAGATACTTCCCTTCCTCCACACTCTGCAACACTTTCTTCAATTCCCATATCTTCTCCGACGGAATGCGCAACGAAAACTTGCTCCAATCAAGGACATCCGAAAACGGCGGTTCGTAGGCGTCGGCGATTATCACAGGGACGCAACCGGCATAGATGGCCTCCACGGTCCTCGGACTCGCGACCTCGAATCCGCTGGGGCACAAGCAGAACTTGCTTCGCTCCATCATTTCCAAGTAGTTGAGATTTGGAGGAAGTTGTTCGTACACTTGGAGTTGTTTGTCTTTGCCCTTCCAGGTCTGGATTAGCGTTTCTCTGATGCTCCCATGGATCCCACCGGCGAAGAAAGCGAGGACGGAGCGATTCTCTGGGTGTTGGCCTTGGCGAGGATGGCTGGATTCACTGGCTCGCAAGTTGATTTCAGGTATGGATACATCTTTTGAAGGATTGAACTGCTCTGATTTGTTGGCGTTGCATAATGCTCTTATTATGTTCTTGTACAATTGCTTATCTGGGTTCTCCTTTGAGATATCTGGTGCCTGCAAAAAGTTGAATGTGAAGCTACACCATTGATACTTTTACAATAACCTTTGCCCTTTATTTCATTTCTTAGTTTGCCATTCATCTAAAAAATATCTTCAGACTTACAGATTAGCGAACCTAAAATGATTTGTTTTATTACAGGTATGAGTATTGGTTGGCTTGGGTTGACTCTTCAAAATCGGGTCTATCAATTGACTTAATGAGCTTCATACGAATTGACTTTATTAAATTTGATATTTTTAAAATATCATACGCATGGATATTCCATTGTAATACCCCCCAACCCCTTGGAGAATATCATGATTAAGAATCCATAGGTTCTTTCCTTGTTTTACTCTGGAGTTTGAATCCTTTAGGTTCCAAAGAAATGGGTACAAAGGAACCTGCATGTATGCATACTAATCAGCACATGCACAAATGTCGAAGTGCTAACATAGCGCTTTAAGTTTGTGTTTCCCCTCTTCTTAGGGACGAAGTTTTGCTTGACATGCTTTTGTTATGCTTCATATTTTAGAGGAGACCATAGAGAATACCAATCGCCTTTATTACGCTTTATTTGACTTCAAGTTGGAAACTTCCATATGAAAGATTTCTTAGTGTACAACCGGTATAAGCTAGCAGTAATAGTTGTAGGTATGGTGTCACACGCTATGCGGGTTGTTGCATTGTCTGGTTTACAGTTTGATAGTTGTATTCTAACTTATGTTTTGAGTTGCTGGAGTTGCTTCGTCCTTTTCCTTGAAGGAGTGAGCACTTTTATGGAAGGCATCATCATCCATAAGGGACGGATGAAACAAAGGATACTTCTATCGCGTCTTTTGGAATGTTTCTTGGGGAAGTTCATTCTTTGAGGGCTATTTATGTGAAATCCCCACCCCAAAACAAAATTTTCAACCTTCCTAGGCAAAGGTTAGACTTGCAGTTTTGGGAGGACCAGTTAAGGTTTTTAAAATGGGGCACTAATTGCTATGTTTTTCTGTGTGGTGAATTTGTACTATTTTGTTTGAAGTTGCATTCTGTAGAAACCAGAGGTTCTGTGCGCCTCTGTTCTTCAATTTTATGCCCTGAACAGCATGTATATGTATAGGTTGTAGAGACACTCTAATTCTCCTGGGATCATCTTAGATATCATAACTACAATAATGTATACTAAGATATCATAACTCTGTTCATATACATGTGCATATATATGAACAGCATTTATACCCTAGAATCATAGATTTAATTTCTGATATACTAAGATAAAAAAAAGAAGTACCATATCTAATAGGATAAAATAACAAAATGAATTGTATAAAGGGATCAAGTTATTTACCCAGTCATGACAAGAGAGCAGCAAATGGTCAGCTCCATTGGTTCTATTCCAGAATGGGTGTTTATGTGATATAAGGTGGGTATAATTATTGACTGTTGTGACAAGTAAATCTCGAGCATAGGTGACCAGAGGTCGGTACAGGCGGCTCACAATGTTGCTTACACTGATGGGTAAGAAGAAGACATGGGCTTCATCTGGCTGAGAAGCAGAGAATGAGGTATTCCCTTTCTCAACTTCTTGCATGAAGTATCCTTCTATGCCATAAATTGATTCTGTAGGACCTTCATGCACCAAGGGGGGTTCACCTTCCCAGTAAGTCCACACCTTGAATCTCTTCACCATCTCTGTGTGACTCCTGAACAAGCCCAATCATATTTAAGGCAATGAGGTTAGTTATTTGCTAGTATGTTCAGTGATTGTTTGAAAGATAGAAGCCATCATCACAATGTAGCTGCTAGCCATGGGTGGAAATAAGCCATAGGCTGATTAGGTGGCTAATGGCTTGGCCTATTTGACAAACAGGTCAAGCTTAAACTCACATCCAATTTTGTTAAATTATTTATAAAATCATCTATTAGATTTTGACTGCTCAATTTTCATTTGTTGAATTGTTAGATTGGCTAGTGGCTTGACTAGATTTGAAACGTGTACTTGTGTCATGAACAAATTAACTTGTTTGTATTGCTGTAAACTTATAATTGTATTTTGGTGTTTTATGTAATAATGTGACGTATGAAATTTTGTTATGTTTTTTTTTTTTAATTAAGAGGAAATTTTAATAAAAGATAAAAAGATACATTAAAAAAATTGTTATCTTTTTATGGACGTTTTAATAGGCGGCAGACCTATTTGAGGCCTTGAAGGCCTTTGACCCATTTTTGAGTTGGATTTATATTAGCTTGCGGGTTGGTCAGGTCTTTCCTAGGCCCAAGCCTAAATAAAGCCCTTGTATGAGCCCACAAGTTAAATGTGGGTTTTAGACTTCAAATGCTAGTAATTTTTATTTAGCCAAAATTTAGACTGGCTAGGACTATCAACATTTTTAACAATAAAGAGCTATTATTTTCTTTTAATACTTCAAGAACAACCTTAAACTCAAAAAACTTTCAAGATAACATTGCTTTTAAATGAAAAGTTTTCAGAACAAATTTGCATTTAACCCTTTGAAAAATTAGTGAAATTGAAATTGAGTTCCATGAGAATACAAGCAAAGGCTTGCCTGACTCTTACGGGAAAAAAAATTGAAAAAGAAAAAAAAAAGGCATGCATGACATTTTTGTCACGGTGCTTTTCTATTTTATTCTCTCTCTATCTACCTATCTATCTATGTATATGTATATAAATTAATGATATAATCCCTAAAAGTCCTCCAAATTTTGTCTTATAAAGCTAAGGCTTTCTGATCTTGTATTTAAAATATCATTTTCTTTAATTTAATGTTTTGAAGACAAAGCCACTCAATGTAATCAGAACTATTCTTCTAGTACTCCGGTCCTAATTATAAGACCCAATTGACTTATTTGAGGAGATTAAGGAAGTAAGTTAAGGTGGTTATTTATAATAAATAAGTGTTGTTATTCCTAAAATATCCTTACTAATTAAGTATATTGGCTAAAACTATCATTATTAGAAGGATTATTTTGGAAAAAAATGCATAAATATAAGAGAGAAAATGGATTGGGTCTTATAATTAGGACCAAATAAAAAGTCAAATTGGGTCTTATAATAAGGACCGGAGGAGTATTATCCAAATAAAAAATGTCCTTCTAGGGAGCAGTACTATTCTTTTTGTTTAAGACGTTCATTTTGGTTTTTTAAATCTTATAAAAGAAAAGATTGAAAGAAAAGTGATCATTAGAAATAAATTGATTTATTTTTAAGGGACTGAATTGCTGTTACTAGAGAAATATCTTAGGCATGAGAATACGTTATCTATTGCTGCAAAAATTAATATTATTGTTCTATAATTTATAATACTCCTCCGATCCTTATGAGAGTTGACGTTGCTTCTAAATATAAGTCTTATTTTATATGTTTATTTATTAATTTTTGAAAGTAACCCTATTAATATTCACTTAATAATAATCAAGTAGAAGATAGAGAAAGAGAATTAAAGATTATTAAAGTGTTTTAGAAAAAACATATCATATTAATTAATTTAATTAATATCTATAATACTCTTCCGATCATTAATATAAAACCTAGTTATCAAGTTAATTTTAATTTTAAATATAAGATTTATTTTTTATATTTATTAATTTTTTCTAAATTACCCCTATGGATACTCTCTCAACCATAATCAAATAGAAGAGGGAGAGAAGATATTAAAAAAGATTATTGTGGTCTTTTAGAAAAAACATGTCATATTTCTTATAATTAATTAATTTACCTAATTTTTTTAATCTAATCAAATCAATTAAATAGATCTCATATTAAGGATCGGAAGAGTATATTCAAATTAGTTAATCAAGTATCACATTAAGGATTAGAGGAGTATGTATTTAACCTGGTTAGTTTTCAACAATCTAATTTCCGATAATTTTTTGAAGGACATACAACACAACAATGAAAGTATGGTGCATGGCACATTATGCTGTTGTTTGCTGCAAAATAGAGAATCCTAATCCTTTCATAATTTAATGGTGGGTTACTGCTAGCTAAATCCACAAGCAAACAAATCTTTTCAATTCACACTGCTTACTCACAACTGTAAGTTAGCCTACTAACCCACGAGTTAACCCATATTTATTTTTTATTTTTTTAATTTTATTAATTACTATAATTATATTATTATATTTTATATCGTATCTTAAAAAATTTTTAAGAAATACCTATATTATTTATTTGGTGCTTTCAATCAAATATTTGGAAAAAAAATTCATTATCTTTCGTTTAGATTGTATAAGAAAAAAATACTTTAAAAATTATTTTTTTAAAAAAAGAAATAATAGTTAGTGGGCCAATCTATCATGGCAGGTTAGGATTGGCTAAAAGTTAGATCACCATTACATGAGCTTTTTTAACCCACACTGTTGAACCTTATTACTAGCCTTAGATGCTAATGTCAAATTAATGGTATTTTTAGGAATTTATATTTTATGCTTTTTGCAAAAAATGGTTAATATCATTTTTAGTCCATAAAATTTGATTTCATTTTGATTTTGATCTCTAAAATTTGAAACTAGTGATTTAAACCTTGTTTCAAACACCAAAAACACTGTTCCAAAAACTAAAAATCTTTAAATAGACCAAGACCAAGTCAAATTTTAGATATTAAACCACTATTTTCAAATTTTAGGAACCAAAATTAAAATGAAATCAAATTTTAGGTATTAAAATGATATTAGCACTAAAAAAAAATTTAAGATTCTCAAATGCATTTAATTATCTTCGTTATGCAGTTAAGAAAACAACTTATAAAGAGGGAATAACATCATTGTGCTGTCATTTTCTGCATTGAGGAATACTAATCATCTAGAAACCAAAATCATTAATGTACTCTAAATCAAATCCACTGAATAAATTCTAGTGCTTTTATTTTAATGTTTGAAAAGAAAAACACTCAGGTCCCAAAAACAGAATGTAGTTATCAAAAAGCCTTATGGCAAATGAGTCGTAACATATAATGATAAATTTCAGTGTAAAAAATGATAATATATTTACAATACTCAATTATTATGAAACTTTCATCTTCAGATTTTATAATGATTTTCCCTTTAATTTTATTAACATTTTCTCCAAAATAAAAAAGTGACAACAGAAATTTAGGGGTAGGGGAAGCAAAAAATATAAAAGGGTCAAAAAATGAATAGTACAAATTGTGAATCTATAGTCAACAAAGATTAGAAAACACGAAGTGGTCAATATTCTCCTTTTTAAAGTCAACGGTTAAAACTTTTTGAATAAAAAAAACTCATGTTAAGAAAATTATTATCTTTCTCCTCTTTTTTTTTTTCGCCAGAAGAAAGTTATTCTCAGTTATTCACATGACAATAATCGAAACTAGCCTAGTAATATTATAAACCAGGTACTTTCGTTTGTGTCGTGTGAGAGAGGGAGAGAGAGAGAGAGAGAGAGCTTAACTGATAAAAAGCATAAGCATTATGGTAAATGCTCCCTCTGGGGATGAAGCTACCATCTTTCTCTGACGTAAATCTTCTGCTTTTCATGGCTTTTCTTATAGCTTTCCTTGCTTCATCCAACTCCTCAACCTTCTTCCATTTCTGCTCCTATAAGTATAAACTCATATATAACAGCATCAGTAACAACTTCAAATACAGAAGAAAACCAGAGATCAGAAGCAAATACAATAATGCAGATGTCAGAAATCACAAAAGGGCTCATACTGTATCATCATGATGAAGAACTGCTTTGTGGTTTTGAGCTGTTTGGAGTCTTAGAGGCAGCGGAATGCTAACATCTCTTTGGTATTTGTAAGTGTAGATGCTAACCAAGAGAAGGCTCAAAAGGAAGCTCGTAAAAAGTTTTAAGCATGATCTCAGGCTTGCTGCCATGGCTTCCCACTCTAGTTTATTATTTCTCGCTCTTCTAGCTACAGGCCAAGGTTATATAATAATATATTAATGAGAAATATATATAATGTGGATTGTTATATGAAAAAAATATGCATGAGGTGGATGTTATGCATATGAACTTTCACCTAATTTTAATTTCTAGAAATATACAATTTTCTTTATTGTTTATCTTTAAATCTTACCTAATCGAGTATGCATGTCACCTTTTGGCTCTTATATGAGTTTTGTTAAATCATGCAAATTCCATTCTTATATTTTCTAAGCTTATACAATTATTGACTATAACAAATAAATTCGTTCCTGTTGTGACTCAAAATAATGCGAATTATAAAAATTTTTTGTTATATTTGGATTTAATTTACATGAGTTTTTTTCTTCAAAATTTTATTTATTTATAAATAAGTAGGTATAAATTTTCATTGTGTGGCATGGCAACCCAGACCCCAAGGCTCTTACACTAGAATTTGAACCCATGACTTTCAGATAGCATGGTATGATGGTGACTTTATACACTGTTATTTCGAGGCTCACCCTCTTTATATGGCGTGGAATCTAAAAAAATTAAATCATATGACTTACAAATAATTTGAAAAATGTCTACCCTATTTGGCAAAAAAAAAAATGGAGATAAATTTGTGTTAAGTTTAAAAATTAATTAACTCAAGAATAACTCATAAGGTTTTCACAACTAATGCTCCAAATTTTCTACACCATCCAAATGTTTAATTAATGAAGGCATTATTAAGCTCTCAATTTAAGATCCAAATTAAATACCACAATCCCATATTAAAACCATAGTGTTGGATAACAAATAATTAATGTTTGAGGTCCCCATTGGATTCACACACACACACACACATAGGGGTGCACATGGGCA